CCCATCACCTCAGCAGCTCCCCTCTGCCAGCGAACACCTCTTGTTGCTGAGCCCCTGCAAGTCCTGGGCTGTCACAGCCCTGGATGGTGAGACGGGGCTGCTCAGTGTCCAGTGAGGGCAGAGCTGGCTGCAGGGGGGCTCCCTGCACTGTGGGGTGCGCTGGGGGCTGTGCTGAGGCCCCTGTGGACCCTGGGTGAGGGCTGAATGTGCCCCCCTGCAGCCAGGGTTTGCTGAGGGAGCCTGGTCTGAGGTCAGGACTGGCTGTGCCTCCTATGAGAAGGGAAGGGGCAGGGAGCAAGGGCTCAGCGAGTGTGGTTTGTGCTGCTGAAGTGGGCTGGACTCCAGTGTGGCTGTTTGGGGCAGGGGCCTCTGTTTCTTCATTGGAAGTTTCATTGTCCTGAGCAGTTTGCAGTGAGGCACAGAAACCAAACGAGGAGAGAAAGGTGCAACACGGTCGTACAAAAGCTACTTGTGAGGTACTGACATCGGGGACATACTGGGATAACAAAGAGGAGGCACCAAGCAGGCTGGTCAATCCATTTTCACTCATTTCCCTCCTTAATTCCAGGCTGATATCCGATCGAGGGAGTATATTCGGAAGCAGCTGTGCTCACCGCTGGAGGTCACTTCTTCTGGGCCAGAGAGGTAGGTGTGTGGGCAGCCCAAGCAGCTGCCTCTCCGAAGGGGATCTGCTCATGTAATGATCTTCAGTAATGGCATTAAGGGGACAGGCAGGGTAACAAGGTGAGCTCAAGTGACACCAGGACATGTGCTGCCTCCATAAAGGGCCATTTCTGGTGCTTGTGGCCATGCTACTTCACACGTTTCATGCACTGAGTGCCGTGTCCCGGGCTGGGGAAGGTCGCTGGGGATTTGAGCCGTTTCTGGCACCTGCGCTAAGCAAAGCACTGACGCCCACAGGAGTGACACCAGCGTGGCCTCAGATACTCCGCAGGGAGCTGGTTTCTGCCCCCAGAAAGCAAGGGGAGGGTCAGGCTCCCCGCTCTTGCGTAACGTGGACCAGCAGCTGCTCTGTTGGGCGCTGTAAACCCACAGCAGGTCCACCGAGCGTAGGAGTTCCTTGTGCTGTCTCCTCAGCGTAGTCCACAGCATCCCAGAATATGAGGAGGAGTTGGAAGGGCCCTGGAAAGCTCCCCCAGTGCAAGCCCTGCCAGAGCAGGATCACCAGAGCAGTCACACAGGAACACGGCCAGGGCTTTGGGTGTCTCCACACAAGGAGACTCCACAACCTCTCTGGGCAGCCTGGGCCATGCTCCATAACCCTCACACTCACAAAGTTTGGCCTCATCTTCAGCTTGAACCTCCTGTGCTCCAGCTTGGGACCATTGCCCCTTGTCCTGGCATTGGCCATCCCAGAGCAGAGCCTGGCTCCTTCCTCCTGACACTGCCCTTTCCCAATGGATCCCCATGGATGAGGGCACCCCTCAGTCTCCTCTGCTCCAAGCTCAAGAGCCCCAGCTCCCTCAGCCGCTCCTCAGCAGGAGGTGCTCCACTAAGGGAGATGTTCACACCAGTACCAGAGTGGGCAGGTACTGGTGGGCCCTGCCCGCAGAGCTGCTGGGGGCAGCAAGGGGTCTCGGGTCTCCAAGCCCACTCTGCTCTGAGGGTCCTGATGGCAGTGCAGGTTACCGATGGCAGTAGCCAGGGATCACTTAGGTTGTGTGAGCAGCTCTTGGGTTCCTTAGGACACCCACAGGGTGCAGCTCATCGTGCTCTGCTCAGCTCCTCTGCTCTTTGAGTCGAGGCCAGAAGCAAAAGAAGGGGCCTTCTCTGCTCTGGCAGTGGCAGCTGCACAGCGTGGCCAGGCCATGGGGAGAACCCTGTGCTGTGCCAGCCTGGCTGTCCCCGGCTTGTGCTGGAGCTTCATCTCTGACCCCTTCCTGCCGTGGCAGGGGCTGGGGCTCACACAGAGGCTACTCTGGAGGTCTGTGCAGCAGGAAACCCAAACTCATTCCAGTTATGACCGCAGATCTCAAAACCTGCCCGTCTGAGCCCCTTGCCACCGAGTGACACGGTCATTTGCTCTCCTTGGTTCCTACTTTTGCAGTCTGTGACCCTTCCTCGTTCTCATTCCCAGCAGAAGGAAGGAGGCTGAGCTGGATGATTAGTCTGATGCCAGAAGAAACCGCAGGGCTCCTCTTCACTGGATCCTGTCCTCCACCGACGCCGTGGCTCTGCCGAGTGCCAGGCCGTGTCCGTCAGGGCAGCACCAGCTGCCGTGCGTGGTCGTGGCGGGCAGGCAGACCGGCTTCTGACCGAGGATAACGTGCAGAGCCTATTTCTCAGGGTTGATTTTTAAGCACTGTAAAAATATTTGTGTCAGTGAAGGTGCGCTTGTGAATTTGCAACAACCCAAGTCCTTGGGCAATGGCAGGAGGCGATGTGCAGAGTTAACCAAGTTCCAAACAGAGCCCAGGGCTGCCCTTTGGCTCGCCCCACACCTCTGAGGCACACACACGTCCCTTCTCGTCGATGTTGGAATAGTTTCCACCCCGTCCCTGCAGCCCCTGCTCTCGCTTTGCGCATCTCCGGGGAACAGAAGCCCGGTACGCGGCTCCGGCTGGTCCTGACAGACGGGCAGAGGACGCTGTGTTTCAGGTGGGCGTGTGACTCACGAGGGAAGGGACGGAGCCAGCAGTCTGCTGCGGATTTTGGAAGAGGCTCAGGACTTTGAGCTCCGGTACCTGAGAAGTTTTCTGTGTATTCAGTGTCTGTGGCCGCGTGGTCCCACGCAGCAGCCACCAGAGCACGGTGGCCGTGTGAGGGTCATTACCTGTGCTGGGCACGTGGTGCTCTGGTGTGGCTGGGAACTTGCTCTGGAGCACGATTGGGATGGAAGGGTGTTATGGTACCCGCTTGGTACTGGGACCCTCCCCGCAGTGACGGGCTCACGGTGCAGAGCAGCTCTTCCTGAAGGAACCATGGTCTGAGAGGAAAGGAGGATTTCCCATCCAGGCGAGTGGGGAAGGAGGTGTCTCCTCGTACACAGACCCCAGGCTGGAGGTTCTGCAGCCTGAGTGCACCAAGCGCCCTGGGGGCCGGTCAGGAGGAAGCTCCCTGCACCCAGGCCAGCGCCCCTGGGTCTAAGCCACTCGTGAGGCTCAGCTTTAGCAGCAGAGCCCAGAACAAGCAGTTTCTATCCCTGAGTCAGTACAGCCACACTGTCCTGTTTGCAGGGCTCCAGGTTGTACCTGGCTATTTCCAGAGACCACCAGCAGCAGATCTACGAGCTCCTGACCACGGCTGCAGCTCTGCTGTGCTGATTTAAAACCCTGGCTGTGCAGGATTGCAGCCTGAGCAGGGAAAAGGGTGTTTTATTGGGACTGGAGCTGGGTGCTCAGGGGCAGGGCTCCTGGGGGCTGTTTTCAATGCTGCCGAGCACTTTTGCATAAATTTACCTCTCAGCTTTTGTTGCTCTTTTCTGGCCGCTGGTCTCGGCGCTGGTTTGGGTACGGGGGACGTTCAGCCCCTTTGTGGGTGCAGCGTCTGCAAGGTGGGAGCTGGGGCTGGTTCCTCCCAGCCCTGAGACCCGGGGCTGTTTGGGAGCTGGGCCTTGGGGGTGCTTCCCAAAAAGCCCTCACTGATGGATGTGCTCGAAGAGACAAAGCCAGAAGCAGCTGCAGTTTCCCAGCGCCGAGCGAGCGTGGCAGCTCCTGGGGAGCCTCAAAGCCGTTTCACACCACAGTTTATGTGGGTGGACAGAGACCAGGGAGGAGGAAATGTCGCAGTGCTGCGTGCTCCCGTGGTCCATGACGTGTGTGGGATCAGAGGGGCAGCCCGGGGCCAGGGGGAGCTTTTTAGGGGTGTGGGAGGTTGGGGTCAGCCATCCCAGCTCAAGGGGACAGCGTGGGACCCCCAGACCCCCCAAAAATCACCTCCTGCGCTCAACATGGCCGGGTGCCTTCATCTCCGTGCACAAACCCCCTCCATCCCCTTTCTGCCACATCTACTGGCCCTGCAGCACCCCCCTGTCTGGTATGGGCAGAGGTATTGACTGGTGAGTCCTTACTGGGAGGAACTGCTCTGGGAGCTTTCCCAGCAGCCGAGGGTTCACCCATTTCTCATTGCAGCCACGTGTGAAGCAGCAGCTCCAGGCAAAGGGCCCTGTAAAGCCCCTCACAGACTCGGGCACCTTAGATCCTATGGGCAGAAACTCACCGTTTTTGCCTCTTTTCCTGATGGCCTCAGGCCCAGCCCAAATCCTGTGCAGCTGTGAGGGATGTGCCCATTTCCCTGGGGTGCTGAGCACCTCGCTGGGCTCAGCTGCGCCAGGGGAGGGCTCTGGGCATGGCCCCGCTGTGAAAGGGGCTCCCTCAGCAGCTGGGCCTGCAGCTCCTCCTGGCCTGGCCGTGCAGCTGAAGGGGGTGAGTGGCTGTTTTTAGGGTTTTCCTGCTGTACTGGTGGTTTGCTGTGCCTCTGAGTGGTGTTTGCCCAAGGGAGGGTTGGTTGTGGTGATTCATGGAGGTTCTGCAGCAAAAGATGCGAGTAGGGCTACGTGGACCCTGGTTTTTTGGCTGGGGCTGCCCCTCTGCTGGGCTCTGGGGTTTTTGGCAGGGGAAGGACCGGTGTGGGCACCCTGCAGGGAGCTGGGACTGGTGATGCTGCTGCCCAAGGGGTGAAGATAACGGTAAAAAGGAGAAAAAAAGACAAAAACCATCGCTTCCGTGCCCATGTCTCCGCATGAACGGCCTCGTGTACGTGACTCTCCGCACTCCTGAGCTCAGGTAAACCCCTGGGGTCAGGCACCTTGGGATTAACGTCACCTTGGCGGGGTTTTTTGGGGGCTGGGGGTGTTGCGGGGTCCCTGCAGAGCAGGGCTGTGGTATTTACCCGTGCGGTGCTCTCGCAGCCGCCAAACGCGGGGCGGTGGTTAAAGGACGGGGTTAATCGCCGTGTTTGGTGTCCACTTGTGGCTCTGAGCACACCGAGGGCTTAACTTGGTCTTTATCTAATTGGCTTATGAACTAGGGAAGGGAAAATCGCTTTGCGATGCATGAAACCTCCTCTTAATGGGAACCGGGAGCCTGAGTGTCCTTCCTCGGTGCACCCGTGCTCAGCTCTTCCTCTTTGCCTCCCTGTCGGCTGGAAATTTGCTGCTCTGGGTGTTAAGTATTTGTTCTCTTGTTCCCAGCAATTTATCACCGACTCGTTGTAAAGCCTGGCCCTTTGTTATCACCGAGGATATTTTTCTCTTTAATGTTTCTCTCCGTGGCTGTTCAGGAGCCTCTGAATGGGTCTCGTTGCTTGGTGATTCCTCGGCGCCGCTGGTGAACAGGGCGCAGAAACCAGGGGAGGAAGATGGGCATGGAGGAAGGAGATTGAATCCCCTCCGGTGGCTGCAGGGGGGCTCTGTAACAAGCAGGAGGCTGCTGGGGTCGTTCTTTAGCTCCTCACACAGTGAAATAGCATCACAACCTCTGCCCTGCGCCCTGAGGCTGGACTGGGGCTGAGTGTCCTCATTAAACCAGCCTGGCACCGCTGCTGCCCCATCGTTCGGCCGCGGCTGGGCTGTGGCACCAGTGTCCTCTGATACCGTTGGGACGCTGGGGGCTGCACCATTGGGATGCTGGGGGCTGCACCATTGGGATGCTGGGGGCTGCACCATTGGGATGCTGGGGGCTCAGTCGTGCGGGTTCAGCTTTGCTGACCCCCCGCTCGCTCTCCACAGGAGATGCAGCACCCAGACCGCTCTGCAAACCAACGTGGGTGCAGAGCGAGCCCGAGCCGTGCCCTGCATAAGAAGCTGCTGCTGGGGGGGATGTGGCAGGAGGAAGGCTCTGAGGAGCTGGTTTTGGGAAGGCTGGGGTCTGCCTGGTCTGCGCAGCCCCCCAAGCCCAGGAGTGTGGTGTGGAGGCTTTCTGAGCCTGGCCGTGAGGAGGAGGGGGCTGTGTGTGTCCCCCCCTGGGTCTCCACCGCTGCCCTGCAGCCACCTCCCTCCTCCAGGGCACTGGTAGCTGGCACAGGAGCCGCTGGCCCTGCTGAGCTGCCCGTGTTGGAGAGCCCGTCCCGGCCGCGGTGCCCTGGGCTCGTCAACCTGCGCTGCCTTAATTGCACCTGAGCCGCCCCATGGAGCTCTCTGCAGGTCGGGCTCAGCCCCGTGCATGCTCAGAGGGGGATCAAAGGCTCCTGCAGAGCTTTTCCATCCATGCCTGAGCTCTGAGGACACAACCCCATTCCCCTCTGATCCCATCGGGGCAGGGGCTTCTCCTGCCTCCCCACAGCTCCCACGGCCGCGTTCGGCAGCTCCCGCTGCCCTCTGGGGAGCTGAAGGACGAGGGAGGATTTGTGCCGGTCAAACCTGAGCGGTTTGCTCTGCTGCAGTCTCCGGATCTGCTTCCTCGGTGGTTTTTGTGGACGCACAGAGATCAGGAAGGGAGATCTCTGCACATGCACTCATCGGGGGTCCCTTGATACGGGAGAGAAGGCGCTGTGGGATGTGGGTCCGTGTTTCCCCTCTGGTTACTGGGGGGGTCGGGATGAGTAACTCGGTCACAGGCGGCTGACACTGGGTGAGATGAGTTCCCATCACATCTGGAGCTTGAGATGGGTGAGATCTGCCTGTGCCATCCGAATTGCAGGGACCGAGCTCTGGTGACTCCAGGGC